AAAATGTATGGTGTCCAAAAATTCTTTGAGGGCAAAGCTCTCAAAGAATGCTCTCCGCAGGAGCATTGGCTTCTTCATATGAAAGAAGGAAAATTTTTTTTAGCAATGTTATAACATTATATATATATATTGATATATAAATATTTTTTTTAATTTGTATCACCATTAAAGGTCACGTGATATAAAAATTTATTGCATTTTTGAGCATAACTTACAATTCTGAGTTTTGATGATTTTTCCCAAAATTGGCCATGAGGCGCACCAAGTTGCGGGACTAGGTGACTTGCACCATAGCTTATATTAAAAAGTCAAAAATTGTAGCCTAAATTGGCATCATTATTCTAAGTAAACTTGTTAATTAGAACATATATGATTACATATCTTATTTTTGGGCCTGGTTTTAAATGATGAAATTTTTTACTAATCACAACTTTTCAAAAATCCAAAAATTAATTTTTTTAAAAAAATACATTTATTTTGGTACCAGTAAAACTTCAACAAAAGAAATTAATTTATTAAAAATGAATATTTATACATAAATTTATGGCCTTTTCCATCTAAAGTCAAATAAAAAAAATGGAAGTCAGTTAGTGATTTTTTTGTTTATTAGGGGTCTACATTTTTTTAAAAATTGCGGCCAAATCTGGCCGCAATTTCTGTTCGTTTAAGGGATAAGAATTGTCAGAGCACTTGCATGGGAGGAAAATACTTGGACCTAAAGCCATTTGTAAGTATTACCTATTCTTTGGGCACTCTGGCAAAAATCTAACTTTCACTATTACTACTGCTATTATTATCAATGATGATATTATTAATATTTGTATTTTCTTCGTTTTCATTACCTTCATCAACTTCACTCTCCACTTCTTTCTTCTTTTCTTTGTTGACCTACTCCTGAATTGCTTCTATCATTTTTCTTCTAGGATTTGTTTTTCGTTGATAGAAATTTTTTATTGTGGAAGTAGCAACACCTTTTCCCTCTGCAAGTAATTTCCATGACCATTTCATTAAATGAAAAATCGGGCTTCAGTTCAGTCTTTTTGTCAAATAATTGTTTGAAATCCTTCCATAGATTTTCAATTTCTTGTGAATATTGTTTATCATCAGTAAGGTTGCGGGAGAAACTCCTCCAGAAATCAATCAACAGAGTTTTGGCAGGTTACACATTAATTGTTTATTAGAG